AGTCCCTGATGGACTTTTGTTAATGATTTGACCGCAACCTTTCTTTCTCGAAACACAAATCCTACTGTACTTCATTACAGTATTAAGATAATATAAAGCAAATCATGTGAATGTATGACTACGAAATAGATCTATAGATTTGTCCATCATATTTAATACCGTATTGATGGTTTTGAATTTTGTAAATTGAATTTTAATGTGAAGCGTTTACTCTTCCCCCTCGGCAATTAATTAGAAAGTTAGATTAATGACAATAATTGCCAAATGACGTAGTAGATATAGATGTTCAATGTTGTAGAGTGATTTCAAGAGTAGTGGTCCACAGGGGTCCGAAAAAGCCGTACAGGCACTTGGGTCCTTATCCTTGTCACTAGTCCCAATTGGATTCACTTTACACAAAACATGAACGTTTACAATTTAGACGTACACATTGGCACGATATTTATTAGAAAGCAAACAGTATAAAATAATACGTGCGTGCGCGGCTTGAGCCGCGCCGCATAACAATTTATGCGTTTAGGGGCTGGAGTACGCGTGTTTACAGATTAATGAATTGTTGCATTGTAAATATTTAAAGTTGACGATATATTATGATTTAATAGTAAATTTTTCAAAGCTGGCTTTGGACTTAGGTAAAATTATAATTTATTTATTTTAAAGAAAAAACCACGGATAGTTTTAAATTTACATAGTCGTATAACTATAATCAAGTTAATCCTGTTTTAAAGAATGCGCGGCTTTGGCGGCCAATTATTGACTTGTACATAAAATTGAATTTTAAATAGAAATGTGAATGTATTAAAATTTAAAACTTTCAAAACGGAGGCTTATAAATATTATTATATTATGCTTGTAAAATAAAGGATAAAATTTTAAATTTGTTTCACTAAATTTGTTTCACTTTTTTTTTGGGAACCGTGGGGTAAAAAACCATTTGATCCCACTGGCTTAAGTTAAAGAAGTTTAGAACAACTATAAGGGGAATTGGCTTATTCCATGTCAAAAGATTAACCTGTTCAATTCAATTAAATCAAGTGATGCAATTGGCAGAGCACAATCAAATTTTAAGTGTTGCAATTGGCAGAGCACAATTCATTACTACCAATAATTTTTTCAAAAAACATTTTAACAAAACACATTGCATGATCTACTCCATTATATGATAAAAAATTATTAGACAAGCTTTTAATATTTCTATCAATATTGTTAGATTTAGTGCTAACAATTTTATCTCCCGATCTACTTAAATTGAAAATATCTTTTCCATGCTCAACAAATCCATTTACAATTTTGTAGGCTTCAATCAAATCTCCTCTAACCCGTCTCTCTGCGAGTGTTGTAATCTGTAAGGCATCCAACCTTTCACTGTAAGGAAGTGTTCTAATATCATCAATAAAGCGTGTGAACCTACTCTGGACATTTTAAAATAAAGTTGTAGTTGATAATTTATTAATTTTGGTGGTAAGATATTTATATTTTTCCACGTAGTGATTTGATACATGTGTGATGATGTTGTGTCATAATTTGTACTTTACTTTACTTTACTTTAACAAAATTAAATTTATAAATTCTATACAAAATTTGGATGATTTTGACTGTTTAATTAATGAAAAGAAAATTTGGAGTTTCCTTCATGGGAATTACTTCAAATAGGTTGAGCTCCGTTCCCTCTTCTTACTCATCGGTAAGGGATATAGATACATGAAAACATTTTTAGAGATCAGATTAGGCACCATCACTAAAACTTAAATGATTAATCATTCTACACTATACTAGGCTGTCGCGTGACTTTTTAAACGTTCTCTAGCTTTGGTGGCCCTAAAGGACTGTTCGGAACACTAAACCTCTACACTGACCCTAACTGAAGCATATGCTTTTAATACTCAATTATAGGGTTCCTAAGCTAGGTAAAAACATAAACTAACACAACATTATATTCCTAATTTTTTCATTATCAGAACATTTTTGTAGGTTAATTGCAGGACGCGCGCCGAGTTGGACTGTTCTTCACATAGCAGCAATATGGAACAGATATTTTACGAGTATCACCCGTTAAAACATTTTATAACCTTTGTCATTAAAAACAACATTTTTTACATAATTTTCATAATGCACCAAAAAGCTTTTTTAATAACCAAAAAGAACTCTAAAGTCTAATTTAAAAAATTCAGGTTCAAGCTTGTCACACGTTGTAGACCTGCCGCGCACGAGTGCGCGGCTGTATTGTGGCTTCCGCCACTTAGTGAATACTATAACTAATATGTAATATGATGATGATGAAAATCTAAATATTATAGGCTACAATGAGCATTTTAGTAACAAATAGTATGAAAGATCTGAAAATTAAAAAAAATAAAATCCCTAAAAATATTTACACCCCAAGTTAAAAATTGAAATACTTTATTTTAAAAACACTATATCAAATAAGGTGGTTGATCAGTTACTTGTGTCATTACGACGACGTCGTTATATTTTGTATCACGTTGCGACCCCCACGGTCGTTTCACTATGGTGGGTGTCAAGTAATTTGCGAGACACGCGAGAAATCTCAGGTGCAATGGAAGGAGAAGAACTCGCGTGCGCGAGGTCATAGATTCAATACTTAATTGTCACCGCGAGTACGGTAGAGTCACATTTAGAAGGTTCTAGACTATTTGACGTTGTATGTCGACTTCTTCGATGATGTGATCACAATTAACAGAAAAGCTTAACCCCCAACTATTCACAATTTTTGAACTTGCAACTCTCTCTCCATCTTATTCTTACTTGCTTACTTGGGGACCCCAGGCTTAAGTGTGTGAACAGTCAAGTCTTGGAATTGAGTTTGAGACAAGAAAGCATTCTTCAAATTATAATTATAATTAAATTTATACACCAATATAATAAAAATAGTAAATAAATTAGAGATGCCTCGATCTGCTGTGCACTGTGCAGGACATTACAATTAATTAATTAGCATTTCAATCAGAAAACATATTCCAAATTTAATCAGCATTAAGCCATAATTTTAGTAACAATATTTACAGAATGGACCGCACATAATTCAATATTTACATATCTCACCAAGCGTTTGGTTAAATGGAAAAATGGAGAACTTGACGATCTAATGATGGAGTGCAGGAGTATTCAGAAAGCCTTGGTGCAGCAACAAAAAATCAGCGAGGAATCCAGGAAGAAGAGTTTCTGCCGACTAATGCTTCTTGGGAAAGTTAAACAAGCCACCAAATATGTTGACAGTTCCAATGACACCTTAGGAGTTCACAGCCTAACAGCAAACATTAAACAGGTCCTTGGGGAGAAACACCCTCCAGCTGTTAAAGCAGATCCAGTTGTTCTGCACCCTCACGGTACTCCTCCACCTCAGGAAGTGACATTTGAGAGGATTGACGCAGAGACTGTCAAGAGGGCTTGTTTATATTTGGATGGATCAGGCGGCCCAACACTAACGGACTCAGATTTGTGGAAGCATATCATCTGCAGCAAATCATTTGGCAAAGCATCAGTGACACTTGCTGAGTCTATAGCAATTGTTGCAAGGCGCCTTTGTAGAGAAGATATCCATCATAGCTGTCTGAAAGAGTTCACTGCATGCAGATTAATCCCTCCCTGCAGTTTCTTTTCGTTTAAATCGTAAATTCGCGCGCAAAAATTTCATCGGCGCGCCTTCCATTAATGATGCATTAGACGCATACATTATAAGCATCGAGTGTCAAGTGTGTTTAACTGTTAACGGACGGTCACTTGCGCCGCGCGAAATATGAATAGCATAGCGATCAATTATGTGTCAACACTTACAATTTAATATTATATTGTGTTGTAAGATTTTTTTGTATAATGAGCCAATTTATGTTTTAAATTGATGAGTAATAATAGTTTTTGTTATTTGTTATTGACAAATACGCGTTCAATTCAATGTTGTGTGTTGATAAATATGGTAGTAATATGATTTTAAATATATGACACAAGTATCATTCTTACATTACATTAGAATTATATAAATATATAATTCTGGTTTTGCATCAAAAAGGAAGTAACAAATGTTTTTTCTGCAATCATATTTAAGTTACAAATCACTAAACTGTAAACTGAAAACACAAATGACAAAGCCACGCGCCGATTTGTACGGCATTTTGTCATTATAACAACTTTTTATATACCACAAATTCTGCCCTGTTCATTTTTCTTATAATTAGTATTGAACATAAATTTTGTGAAATAATGATTTGATATTAACTCCAAGTATCATTCGTTAAATTTTAGTCCAAGATTGGTTTTTTATTTTCAGATGCGCGCATGTTTTGCTTGATTTTACAATCTGCAATCTTGGAATATCCTCCGCATAACTTCGGCTTGGAATTTACAAAAGTGTGCTGCTAGCTGTACAGTAGCAACGAATTTAAAACCTGTTTTGTCAAACACAAATTTGATTAAATTCATTTTAACTGCGTTTGTTGTCTTTCAATAATTATTTCTATTGACTTGACAAGTCAAAACGTTAGTTAAATATCGGTTTTATGAAAATTTTCAAGTATTGCTACAGGGCCTTTGAAATGACTTTAGATGGTGCAAATTTAAACTATTGCCAGGAACTTCATGTGTTTTGGAATGTCAAATTTAAATTATTTGCAGCTTCCTTTTTTTGATCGTTTTTTGCTCATTAATGTTCAATGACTAAAATCCAGATAAAACGGATTTTAATTTATATTTCATTAGTAAAACAAAGTAATAGTCTGTCGAAAGACTGTTACTCATTGCAATAAAGTTGTAATTCTACTAACGTGTACAAATGGCTCTGTTCCGTAATTTTATTATCTTCAGCTGTATGTGTGCAGCTGGTTATGAAAAGTTGAGAACCGTTTGGTGTTGATTTAATTTACGGGATCAACTCTATTTTAGGATTCAAATTCATTCATACCCTTGTTAACTACATTTAATAAAGATCAATGTGGCAAGAAAACTTAAGTGCTTTTAATTTATTGTAAAACCAATAAATCTTCAATTAGAATGAACACACGACCGGCACTTCACACGGTGAAAGACAACCTTGGCATTCATCAGCAGATAACATGCATCAGCAGATAACCCTTACTCTTCAGATTATTTGATAATCATGAGGTATTTACTAATCATTTATAACTTATAATTATAATTCGTAAGTTCGTTTATACTTTGATCTATGAAAAGCTCTGTAATTACTACTTTCATAAAAATTTGCTTTTAAACCTTACCTAAGTTGGCACATGATATCATGAATATTGGATAATTTGTATTTTAACAGTTTAGCCAGTTTTCCTATCAGATCATTTTAAATGCATCTTAAACTGACAAACTCAATTTTGAGCCTAATGTAGCCTGGTATTAATTATTATGGCGTAAGTGGCTGTTTTAGTGGTTTATTTGATTGCTATACCATAGTCATAGCAGCTTCATAATTGATTATTACTGTAAGTTCTAAGGTGTCGATAATTGGTGGTTAATATTGATCAAAACCGACCATTTGTTGACAATTAGTCACATATTTTATTCAATTTATTGTAATTCGTGTACCAAATGTGGTTTAAAAGATACCATATATGTGCTGAAAACAGCGGTTAAATTGGTTTGAAACGTGCAATTACCCACATATATGAAACCACGTATCTACATTTGATACGTATCCTCCCTTAACAATTATTCTGACGTACTGAGTTGAATTTCAGAGCTTAATCATCGCTTGAATGACTTAAATGTACATCTTTGTTGGGTATATTTTAATGTCGAAGCGTGTAATAAATGTTAGAATTTATTTATTTATTTATTAAAATATGGCTATTTAGGTGGTTTATCTATCTGTATACTCACATGTCATGATACGAGCTTCATTATTCATTTGTACTGATAATAATGAAGTGCTGTAAAATGGTGGTTAATAATGATCCAGAGAGATATTATTCTATCATTTATGTAGAATGTAGATCATTGTTTAATAAGTCTGAATGGATGTACAAAATTTTGTAAATTTGCAGCCGTCTCACATCACCTTAATAACACCAGAATGTGTGTGTGTGTGTGTGTGTGTGTCTGTCTGTCTGTCTGTCCGTGTGTAATTTCCGGTCGGTTATACAAAAAAAACGGTAAGAGTTACGGGACTGATTTTTTCGGTATAGTGTCGACAAAACTCTGATGAAGCCCATAGGAAATTTTTTTTAAAATCGGCCGATGGTAAGTGGTTTAATTGATGGTTTTGTACCACAAATGTTACATAAAATTGCGTGAGCAGAACGGCAAGAGTTACGGGACTTGCTCTCTCTCTCTCATTACTGTGTAATATGTTATAGCTGCATTTAAGTAGCGTCATAATTGGATTAGCCTGGAAGATTTGCTGTAATGTTATACCTTAAGCTTATTAGGGGAGGGGGGACTGTTAGTGTTTGGGGTCTGTTTGGACTGCAGAGAGAGAGAGAGAGAGAGAGAGTTCATACGACAATGTTATGCGTGTTTTCAAATATAATATGCGGGTGTGGTGCGGAGTTAACAAGGGTTAATTTCTATAACGATTTAAATAAAAATAGAAAGCGGTTCAAGACGGGAGTGATGAGGTGTAATAATCGGTGTTCAGACCTTATGATCATGGAGTGTGGTGCCTCATGGCTAATAATGACTTAATTATCCACAAGAAATAACTGATTATGAGATTATTGTTTAAGAAACTATTGGGTCACCTAATGCGGGTTTTGACTCTGCGGGTAATTACTCCTACCCTTTTTAACTGCGGCAGTGAAATCCCGGCCGTAGGCCGGGTTACACTAGTGTCACTATAAAGTGCTTGTCACTATATAGTCCTGTCCCTATATAATGCAGCAATCCTCAAATGTATCTAACCATCTCATTATAGCTTGTTGTGCTCTCTATAGTACTGTTTGGCTATTATGGCAAGTGAACTCCAATCCGTAGCAGAATCTACGGTAAAACTTTTCTTGTCAACTAATTTTAGATTTTAGTACTGCCAAAATGAGTATATCCTCAATATTCTGCTTCTCAATTTGTAAGCAGTAAATTCTAATGTAGGAATCAACATTATCATAGAAGTGTTGAAAGTAAACCCTTTTAATGCTTTCAACACAGCTGTGATCTAAACCAGGTATTATCTGGCAAGCTATAAATAACCTGATGTTTCAGAAATGGAAGATGTTCTTCCCAGTGACCTTCATCATGTCCATCCTGTGGATCGCAGTATTCTCCTACCTCATGGTTTGGTGGACTGAGACACTCGGCCGAACTCTTGGCTTGGGAGAGAAACCAGAGGTTTGTCTACACTTCAAATAGTTTGTTAAACTCTTACTTTTTGTGTGTGTTCTTTACACAGTGAACACACAAGTTCAAGTCATTACCTTCGAAGGTCTAAATTAGATTAGTCTCATGAAACTTAGATTTGAAACAAAAGAAAACAGATGCGATTTTGACGTCACAATTGTTGTGACCTTATATAGTGCAGAGAGTACAGAACATTCTATAGTTATTACAATGTATGTATAGTGTATACATCAATATCCTTGGAACACTCCGACTCATTGTAATATTACCATGGTTAGGTTCGCAAATCAAGTTCCCTGATTATTTTTTCCATCCTAACATGCACTTTTTAGTCTGGAAAGTAGACGTAAATTCTACGTCTACTTTCTAGTAGATGTTTCTAGTAGTTACTTTCTGCTACCTCTATGCCAACTTTACCCAGCTGCCACTGCACCAGCACGTTATAATTGTAGTAACCTCTGAATGGTACCCTCTGCTTGTTGGTAATTGTAAGAGATACTAGTCAAAAGCTATACTCGGGAAAATGTAAAATCAGCTATTATCTAATCTTTCAGCATCTTACTATCAAATTAGAGGTCAATATTTCCAGGACTACTACCTCTCTGTCAATGACATATTCGACAACCAACACATCACCACAATTGTCAATTTCGCAAACCGCACCAAACGCTTACTTGTGCCGGAAGAGCTGGATCAGACCGGGGTGACTTAAAGTATTATCTCATATGCTGTCTCGTCTCGTTTTACTTTTCCAAACCCAGCTGGCATTTAAGCGTATCATTTTGACTCATATATCATCTTACACCATCCTCCACCAATCACTCTGATTTCACCGGCAACCTTCCCCAAGGTTGCCACACCCCAGAGGTAGGCAGAGCATCTCAATGCTATCCTCTCGTGGGCTATCTTGGCCCAGCCTCTCTTTATAAAATAATATAATGATTTATTTTATAAAGTAACTTATGAATTTATTCGAGAAATAATCTGGAAGTATTATCGGCATCTTTTCACACATATTATATATAATATCACTACAAGCACATACACAGTGGCCAATTTGGTACGCTGTTTACAGCAGGGTTTTAGCGTAATAATCGATCTTTTAGAATGTTCTAGTTTGAGTGTAGAATTGCCATAAGAGCTGAGTGTAAGATTAGGTAGGATTAGTGTATAGCTTTTGGATGGTTTTGCGGAGTAAGACACGCGTTAGTCGGGTGCATTAGTTAGCAATTTGTGTCCAATTGCAACAGCTTATTCTACTGATAGAAGAAATCGACCAATGGCAGCAGTTTTAATTAAGATTACACTAAAAAAAGGCTGCTGAAATTCGCAAGAAATGCAAGCATTATTTTAATCGTTACATTTTCAATTCGTTTTAAGTTAAGCTAGTCAGAATCAAATATGAAATTTTCGTCCTTAGTCGGAGAGCCACTGGAGTTACCTCAGACGAGCCCTTCCACTAGAAGAGTGCTGCAGTTACTACTGCTTAGAAGTAACCAGCACCCCAGGCTGCCTATTAACGCGGTACTGACTCTAGTAGCGGAGGAGCTCGTGACAGTCTACGCCGAATCAGACTTTTTGATATCTCTTAACAGTAAAGCTAACATATTCAAGTATGTAGTTTCAGTTTCCCTTGTAAATATTGTCGCTGAATATATGATCCAGCTATTAGATATATTATTAGTTGTAACTTTACACGTGAATTTTTAATTCAATATCCGTAGACTAAGTCAGAAGTTTTGTAAAAATTGAACTTAGATTTTATAAAATTCCGATATTCTTCAACGGTTGAAAAATTCCGAATCTTATGGTTAAGTAAGAATTTTCATTGTGTCTTATCGAAAGTGAGTGAGAGAAACACTTGTGGCAATTTTATTTACTGGTCCTCTTATTTGTAAAGATATCCTCAATACATTCAATTACAAAGTCTGATAACCGTTAAAACAGGGGTCGAATTCACAAAAATAACGTAAACCATTGATTTGAAGCAACCGCCGCTCCTGTCTCTTGATTGCTGATGATGATCAGGAACGCATGACGTATAAATATCATCACGACGATTATTGGTCACTCGAAATCGACCCGTTAAGATTGCAATGTAAGTGCGATGGTTTTTTCTGTGCATTTGTTACCTGTTACTAATTAATCCACAGGATCAAAATGTTTATTGTATCGATAAAACATGGATTTTAAGGCATAAGGAAGCATTGTTGAGTTCTGAAACCAAGTTTAATCGATTTCTCGTGCAATTTTAGGTCAGGAGTGGTCATCAAAATAAATTTTGAACAAAGTCGATATTTTGGTAAATTTCTAGCTTTCTGTCAGAAAATAAATCTTCGTTCTATTAGGGGTAATTGGATGTAACTACAGTACAGCTGTACTTACACCCACTTTCACATGCATGCAAGCTCACCTGGTCCAAAGAGCGGGAAACGGAGAACGAGCTCTGGTGACGTCATAGTCACGTGACCTCAGGCTCATAATCACGTGACCTCAGACCCAATCAATTGGGTTCTGGCCTGTTCAGCCCCCTGTCACCCGATCTTGAGGTGACGTACGACAACTCGTTAACCCAATCGATGTCTGGAAGGCTGCAAATTTTCACATGCCAAACTCACAACGGTTTTTCGGAGTTGTGCGAGATGACGACACATAGAGGCCGCAGAATTATGAGGACTACCAGATCCTGGTGGAACCTAAGCGATCCATGATATCACGACAGGCCCTAAACAGTTCATCAAAATAATCAAGGGGGGGGGGGGGGGGGGGGGGGGGGTCCAACTACATTTTTGTACGTGGCCACCAGATTTTTGCCAAATGTACATTGTACATGTACAAAAATGTACAAAAATGTACAAAATATGTTTTTTCCTGTTTGGAAGTTCCCTGGATAGATTACTTGCTGTGGCTAATTTACAATGACAGGTACATCACATGGGAATGTATTTGATTACTTTAACACCTTTTCTGCTGTTCTTGACTGGTGGTTTTCAAGTAAACCAGAATGCCAGAAGTTATCTTACCTAGTTAGTAGAGTATTAGATTTAAAAGATACTGCGACACTTTTAAAGGTTGCGATATATAATTATTTATGTAATATAATACTTATATGTACTTATGTAGGCATGTAATTGGTAGAATATTGTAATGTTTGATATAACTACATAACAGTACCTGTTAGGCTATCCATTATCGGTATGAAATCTTTTATCTTGATAAACAGATAAAAATTTAGGTTTTATCTAGATAAAACCGATAAAACCGATAATTTTTCTGCTGAAGGCCAAAGCCAAAATGTTTTCCAAATTTCACAAAAACTGATTGTCGACTTTTATTACTGTTTACCAGTAATCTTGCTAAAGTACAATTTCCTTTCTTTTGAAAATATTAGAGCATCAGTTTTCTTCTCCGGGGAACAATAGTGTACCAGTTCTCTTCAAAACAGTAGACCAACGGTTTGTCTTCTCCTAAGAACAGTAGTGTACCAGTTCTCTTCAAAACAGTAGATCACCGGTTTCCTTCTCCTAAAAACAGTAGTGTACCAGTTCTCTTCAAAACAGTAGACCAAGGGTTTCCTTCTCCTGAGAACAGTAACGCACTAGTTCTCTTCAAAACAGTAGACCACCGGTTTCCTTCTCCTGAGAACAGTAACGCACTAGTTCTCTTCAAAACAGTAGACCACCGGTTTCCTTCTCCTGAAAACAGTAGTGCAACAGTTCTCTTCAAAACAGTAGACCACTGGTATCCTTCTCATGAGAACAGTAACGCACTAGTTCTCTTCAAAACATTAGACCACCGGTTTCCTTCTCCTGAGAACAGTAACGCACTAGTTCTCTTCAAAACAGTAGACCACCGGTTTCCTTCTCCTGAGAACAGTAGTGCACCAGTTCTTTTCAAAACAGTAGACCAAGGGTTTCCTTCTCCTGAGAACAGTAACGCACTAGTTCTCTTCAAAACAGTAGACCACCGGTTTCCTTCTCCTGAGAACAGTAACGCACTAGTTCTCTTCAAAACAGTAGATCACCGGTTTCCTTCTCCTGAGAACAGTAGTGCACCAGTTCTCTTCAAAACATTAGACCACCGGTTTCCTTCTCCTGAGAACAGTAGTGCACCAGTTCTCTTCAAAACAGTAGACCACCGGTTTCCTTCTCCTGAGAACAGTAGTGCACCAGTTCTCTTCAAAACATTAGACCACCGGTTTCCTTCTCCTGAGAACAGTAGTGCACCAGTTCTCTTCAAAACAGTAGACCACCGGTATCCTTCTCTTGAGAACAGTAGTGCAACAAATACCAATTCTCCTCGAAACAGTAAAACATTTAAAGTGATTCAGTGAACCGTTTCCTTATCCTGTGGATAACTTGGAGCAACAGATTCCTTCTCCTGAAGACAATGTTTCACGCCTAGAACACTTACGGAATTTAATTGAGTGCCCTGCCGCCTGCCGGTATTTTTGACTCTTGTTAACAGTAACATGCTCGTTCCTGTCTCCAGAATAGTTCAAGTAAGGTAGAACGCCAGCACCCTAGCCTCAAGATAACAATGTCAATAACTTTCTCTAGACTTCTACAGTTCTACAGTTCTACAGTTCCATAGGTATACAAATGTAAATAAACCTCTTAAGCTCACATTTAAGTAAACTACCTCTTCTATCATACTATAAAACGTTTGGGACTGTTTCTTGGATTACTTGGGAAGGCAAAAAACACTAATATTTCTTTAAAATTTTACGGTATTGTGGCAGTTTTTTCGGTAATTTCTAGTGAATTTTTATACCGATAAAAATATGTTTTATCTAGATAAACAGATAACCTTTTTTAACGAATTATCGGAGATAATTATCGGTAACGATTATCGGAGTGGATAGCCTAGTACCTGTGTTTACAATCATTGTTGATAAAATGATATATTGTATAAATGTACCTGTTAACATTCAGATGAACTATTATTTTGTACAGTGCAGTGTTTGACTGAATTTATTGTGTTTTGGTTCA